AAAATTTCCAGAAAATGCTGGCTAAATTTACATCATTCATTCGAAATCCCTGATTTTAGAAATTAGAGAAAGTAAATAATAATCTATAAAATTATAATTTTGTGGTTTGGGTTTATATCTGACGCAATGCCTCAATTCATCGATTATATATCGTCTCACCCTCTTTCTTTCATGAAATTGCGACATCCATACCATTTCCATTAATCGTAGTGGTTGTAGATATGATAATGTGAAAGTTATATTCAGTTAGATAAATGTTTATTGATGCAAACATAAAATATCAATAAATCAACAGCTGTCGCGCCAAACGTGAATGATTTGATTCTTCCTTCGCGCACTCGTTGAGCAGTGGCGAGGACGTGGCACTGTGGCATAGTCATCGCAAGAAGTGTCGAATATCCAAGCCTCTCTTCTTGCAGCTACTTGGGGATGGGAGGGAAATTTCTGGAAATATTTTACTTACGATATTTTTTTTTATTTCTGAAGCTACTCGAAATATTTTCCTTGCTGTATTTTGTCATTTGAACATTCAAACGTTCATTTTTCTGATATTAAATCTCCATCTTCGTTTCAATAAATATTCTGATCTCCTTAAGCCTACATTGAAATTGAAATTGCTACAGAATGCTTCGATTAATTGTTCCTGTCACCACGGATGTAAGATGAAATTTAAGTTTGAGGTGGGAGTAAAACTAAAATATATTTGATTGTGATTAGTATGATGGGAAATTTTCTGATTTTTCTTGCGCTTTAGCCGATTTTGTAAGGGTACGTAAATGTCCAAATCCAGAAGACATTTTTATTGGCGCCGTTTGTTGGCCTTCGCTTTTATTTTCAAAAGAACCACGACGCATACTTCCACAGAGCTCTGTAAACCTAATAAATAGACACCATAAAGTGCCTGGTGTAAAGTTCGTTTCTTGTGGTAACTTTAGTTATCAAATTTAATAACGAAGAGCTGGATCGGCCTTTCTGCACCGACAAAAGTTTCTCTTCGAATTATGTGAACCAAATATTTTGTTTCAATAGAACTGCGATATCTTCTTAAAGTTTTCCATTGTGCATGCAATCAATAGAAGCCTGATAACTCGACTAAAACTGGCTAAAACTAAGTAAAAGCGCCCAAGAATCAGGGCGTACTAAAGAACCCCGTGCGTTTTCACTCGCGAGTTTGTGCTGACGGGAGTTCGAATGGCATGACAGGAAACCGCCGAGCAGTCCGAGATTCTCCGACCTGGGCGCGACGAGGAGCCCTTGTTATCCCAGGACAAAAGATACGAACCCTCCGCCACCGGATGAGTCGCGAGCGGGTGGCGAGCTCTCAATTCGATGCGACAATATCGTCGACCCATGCGAGATCTTTTCGTTGTTTGGTGACTCTCATCTGTTACGTAACTGGCATTTTTTAAGTGTGGTTAAATATTGTTTAAACATCAAATCCTTCTAAAATATTTAAAACGCAACGTTTTATGATTTTGTTTGGTGATCGCCGCATACGACGTCTCATCACCACTGATCGCGTCCCCTGCGCCCCGAACGACTGATGGAAGCGCCACCTACACCTGATTGGCCCTGGCCATGGGCTGAAGAGACAGCTGAATCGTAAGCGCGGTAGCTGCTTCCGAGTCTTTACTTGTCAATCTTCACAACGATAATAATAATGATAAAATGAAAATTAAAATGATAATAATAATAATATTTTATTAATATTATTATTATTATTATTATTATTATTATTTATTATTATTATTAATTTCATCCCAAGATAATACGCTGAGAACACGACATCATGATACGATGGTTCTCAAAATTTCGCAAATATAGCAGAACATTTTAAATCGGGGCAAGGAAATACAAAAGAGATACAATAAATAGGAAAGGAGAAATTTGGCTAGTCTTCAGCTGGAAGTTATATGAGGAGACTGAGATCTGATAATGCAAGCTATGAAGGTGCAGAAGTTACTAAGGGAATAGTAAGCTTACGTACTTTTCTTTTTCTCATACGCCAGATAAACCGATTTGCGTATTCTTATTGTTCTACATGAGATAATCCAAACATGAGGATTCACAAAATTTCTTGTTGTCTGTCTGATGATATGCGGATGGTAGCATTTGTCGAGAAACAAGAGTAGTAAAATTTTGTATTCAGTGAGAAAAAATATGTTTTGGGAGCGTAGAGACTTCATAGTGTTGCAAATTTTGCGACATTGTTTGCTTTCTTACTGTTGTGTATTAATGATCTCAGAAACAGCACGAATGAAATGTCTCCAATCTAGCACATACAATATGTATTATGTTGGTGTGATGTACGTTCGCCTTTTGCAGGCGGTTGTAAGTGAAGGTCAGCAACCGAAGGTGGTCGGCGAAGTAGAATTTGCGGAGCCGAAGTGGCTTTGTGTGTGGGGGCAGACGCTTGGGGCCGGGATCGGAGTGGCACTGGACTGTCCTCGCCGAATTGTGCTTTCCACCTGTTGCCCGGGGGCGAGGCGGAGGCTGTATTTCCGCCCAGCGCCATGCGTCCGCCCGACCGTCCCCGCGCAGCCGTGGTGGGCCGGGCCGAGCCCAGCCCCGCCCACGGCGGCCCCGCCCATGCCCGCTCTCCCGCGCTCGCCGCACTTGCGGCGGCCCGTGCGGGTGCGGCTCCCCGCAGGACGCACGCCCGGGCGCCGCGACGCCTAGATAGTGACGACCTGCCCTAAATCTAGGACCTTTAAATAGATGAGAGAGAATGGCATGAGTATTTACAGTGATAAGTTTCTAGGTCCTGTTGTGTAATTCGTCCGTATCTAGAGCAACGCCTGAACAAGAGTGAAAGTATTAATTTAAAATTCGAAATAGTGGAATTTATTATTAATCTACGTATTACTGTGTGACGCAACTTTTGCCAACAGCTGACCCTGGCAGTCGTAAATTCGCCATAGAAATTGAAATTATTCAATGTTTGATGCGTTTTATGAGGAATCACTTGAGCAGCGATTATTGCCGCCGGAAACAAGACAGTTTCTTGTTGTCTTGATCTGTTCTTTAGGTTCCTACCATACTCTTCTGAGTCCGACGTGGAATGCGCCCGGAAGGGAAGAACTCGCTGAAGGGAAAAGTTAAGTGGTGCATCGCCTCAGATTTACAAATTGGTCGTTCGTTTCCCTTATTTCCGCATGTGATGTGAACAGTGAGATTCGTCGTGATGACCCGAGTTTTATGGTCTGAATTAAAACAGTTTTAATACGCGTGGCCGCCGGCCGCACTGATGTCGACTCGAAAGGTTCGCACTGGTGGCAGGGCCGCATGGAGGATTTTGCCTCCGCCAACCGCACCCGTCATTACAGCTTTGGTCATAACGGACGCTGAACGAAGGCGCCTCTCGTGTGTCCCGTGGCCCAGCATGCCTGCGTGACCACTTCGAGAGCGTTTTTAGTGGCCGACCGCTAGGACACCGCTAGCCCAGACCAGGGACTTGCCTCATTCTTTTGCGAGCACCCGCTGATGCGGTCGCGGCTGTTCGCCGACGGCGCCCCCTCGCCTCGAGGGCCACCGACAGCAGCACGACCATGCTCATTACTCTTTCTTTTCAGACGGTTTGGAAACGTGCCAGATTGATGAAAGGCTGCAGTATCGATAGTTAACTTGAAATCTCATTGGTATACAGTGTTTGATGTAACTTACGTTGCGAGTACTTTATTTGTCTTCGGGTGCTTCTTTCATTTACCAAAATTGGTGCAACTAAAGAGAAGAATATTTCTCTTATTTTCCCTGACTAGTACCTTCTGTTTAGAAAACAAATCGCTGAACATTCGTTTCAAACTAATACTTCGTTTCATTTTACTTTCTCGCCTACTACGAACTTATTCGTAAAGAGGAAGTATTCTAATGATGTGGCAGTGTCGATTTTCGTCAAACATATTAGAATGGCCATGATATCGAAACAAAGTAGATAAATATTGTTCCTATATGTATTAAATTACTTCCTCTAACACGTATGGTCAGAATCTATCTTTTGGGGTGATTGATAACGAAGTATTGGCTTACGGTACAGCTTTTGTTTATCGGTCTGTGATCAACACAAACGCCTAAACCGTTCGAAGTATTTTCTTAGCTTAAAGTAGCTTAAAGTCATCAAAATGTTCTCAAAAATGGCACAAATTGTTTCGATTAAATGTTTCCCTCGGATATACAGAAGACTAAAGAGAATGGTGTAGGTCTCATATTCGTTAAA